GTATTTATTCTTTCACATAGTAAAAATCACATATAGTGATAGCTGTCTCAAGTAGCATCAAACATCCAGTTCCACATGAGAGGTCTCAGTGACCTCTTGAATGGGCCTGAAGATCCTAAGGAAACAAATAACTTGGCATACAGAATAACAATGATACACATATCATAAAAGTTTTACTCTAAAGAGGGATGACACTAAGGTCATCATATATTCAACTTTATTAATAATCATAAAGACATAAGAAAGGATATGTGTTAGTCCTTTCTGGAACAGACATCCATCAGATAACCCATTCCATCAATCTAATTGGACTTCAAGACGGATACTCATCATTCTAAAGTTCCCTGACATCCAGACTGCAACTCTGCTCACTAAGCCTAGCCAAAGAAGAACTGTTTACCTCAGTTGAGCCTGATGCTTTGGCACAACATTTGACTACAGATTGTTTTCAAAAACTACCATTTTCTACAAATACTATTATTTACTACTAGTTTCACAAAATTAGACATTCGGAATGCATACCATGTGTTCATAATGTTGGTGGGTAACTATTGCAAGACCACATTTAATACCCATTGTGAGTATTAGATAATGCCTCTAGGCCTGGTTACATCAATGTTTTTCAACTAATATTAGTGATATTCTCAGGGAGATGCTTATTTAATTTGTGTTTTGTTTACCTGGATGACATTTGCATTTTAAGAATATATACTACATTTCATGCAAGTCCTGACTTGCTTGCTGTAGAACAAATTAATTCTGAAACTGGAGAAGAATGAGTTCTATGTCACTTTAATCACCTTTCTGGCATCTGGGGGCCCAAAGCAAGAAGTATAGAACCCATCCTTAAGAAATAATACATCCACTACCCACCCCGACGTGTCCCTGGTCCCACATCACTTTGGATTTTATCTCAAGACTGCCTGTTTCTCAGAAAAACAAGGTAATCTTAGTAATAGTGGATAGATTTTTAAAGACTTATCACTTCTTAGCCCCTAGGCTGGCTCATTTGGTTCCTCTATAAGCATCTCCTCTGGCTTTTATCTCCAGTTGAATGGTCAGACCAAGAGAGTAAATAAGCAGATTGAGAAGACAATGCCTGGTTAGAGGTGCCTGGTCGTTGAAAACCAATCTACATTGAGGTCCTGACTAATCTGGGCTAGGCTTGCTAACAACACTATTTTCCATTCTTCTTTAGGCATGTCTCCATTTTAATATTTGTATGGCTTCCTTCTTCTTTTGGCTCCAGGACAGGTGTCAAATATTGATGTCTCAGTAGCCACATAGCTCGTTTAGCCAAAAATTCTGTTCCTGTACAATGCGCACAGGGTAGTAGCATTGCAGCTTGTTCTTCACATATTATCAAAAGCTTTATTAGTAGTATTATTAGCCTGTTTAATCTTTAAGCCCATCTTTAAGTCATTTTCTCTGTCTTAAAATTTACATCTCTACCACAATCATTTTATTATCTCAGCTCATGTTCGCTACTCTTGTGTAAAGAGCCTACTGTTGAAAGGTCTATTTTTAGCCCATTTTGGATTGTTTTCTCAAGCACCACATCTCCAACAAACTTAATGCCAAACAGCCTTTTAGTTTATTCCTAGTATTCGCTTTGCAGTTTGTTTGTTTGTTGACTTATGCCTGTACTCCTCTACAGTATGTGTATCGTAGTTTACTTACTTGCACTTGTCACATTGCCCCTCACATGTGCCCTATCATATTGTAAATCCTTTTGTACCAGCAGAGCTGCCTTCATGGACAGAAAACTTAAAGATACTGAATTGTGTGGCTCAAACAAACCTCTCCGTAAGTCTCTGGGGCTTAGAGAGATCCCAAGAGGGCATGAGAGGAGGTGGGGGTGAAATTAACCATCTTGTGCTACGTGCCTCTGAGGAACCAGCTGATGGATGAGGTTATGTTTTCCCAGTGCACTACCATCCGCTACCCCATACAAAGCGTAGATGGCAGCACGCCAAACCTTCAGTGTGGAGGGTGACAGCCTACACTCCAGCTGTCCTGAAAAAAGGAAATACAACACTAATCTGACTTATCTGCGCTCCACACAACAAACAGACTCCACTACAGGACGTAGGCATGGCTCATACAGGGTCCTATAGCCTTAGTGTTGGTGTTAACCACCAAACTGGTAGGTCACCTCTGTCCTCTGCGCTCTGTCTAGAAACCATCCATAGAGGTTGTAGGACCTTGCACCGGGGCCGGAGGGTGCCCCATCCCAAAGAGAAGAAGTGCTTGCTCTGGGGAATTTGTCAGGGAGGGCCGTCGCGAGGAGTCCATAACAGCTGGAGCATGCCATGCTGGCACAGTAGAGCTTGTCGGGCATATGAACGACACACATCAATTTAGCCGAATTACTCCGGAGGAGCACATTGCGAGCCGTCAGCCGTGCTGACCATCCTAACCAACATGTGTTTGTGCTCCTGCACCGGTAGGGACCAGTGGAGTACAAGAAACACTGCCAACAGCTCCAGGCAACTGAAATGCCAATGCCACCAAAGTCCGGTTTACGAACCTGCAGCTGCATGCTTGATATACACAGCCCCCAGCTCATACTGGAAGCATCTGTCGGAATAGCTGCATTTCCACTATCGTGCCTAAAATGAGCAAACCAGGGCGAGCCAAGGCCAGTCACGTTTTCACTGTCACTTCCGGGGCCTAATTGTGCCAGAGCGGGGCTTTCTCGGGTCCAGCGGCCAGCCTTTTTCGGTCCGCCGAATACCTTGGGCCAGACAGGGCCAGCTGGAGTTTGGGGTCAAAGTGAAAGGAGAGGCAGGCACTAGTTTTTTGAACGCACACGAGTACATGTGCCAAACAAATAAATAAATAAGGTAAAGAAAACATCTAGCTTTATAGGCTAGGGTCTTTTTGTGCATGATCACCCTTATGTTTCCCTTTTAAATTTAAGACTGTTGCATTAAATAATAAAGTTTTATAAGTGATAAAATAATAATAATAATTTAACAAGTGACATTCTTTGCTGCGTCCTCCCTGATGCGTAGTAATCTTTACACCATATTAAAGACACAGCAGACAATAAAGGTTTTCGAGAGTTTTTGTAAAGTTTAAATGGTGTGTTTGTGCAAGTTTGGATGCCTGTATGTGTGTAAGACCGAGCAAAAGAGCGATTCCTTCACAGGTTATCCCTTTACAGCTCTGTTGATGCCGCTAGCGGCTTCTTTCTTTTTTTTTTTTTTTTTTTTTTTGCAGATAATACACAATATGAATACTACAGAAAGACATAAAACTTAACAAATTATGTGTTCACTTTTGTAGACTCAAAATAATTGTGTCATATCTTGATAAAATAGCCTAAGCTATATTGAAATAATTTAAAGAATTACAAATATTGGATATAATAAAATCACATAAAATTAATAAACCAATATAAAACAAACAAAAGCTTGTTATAACAATTTAGATATATACAATACATAAATCAAACAGTTTTAAAGCCATAATAAACTTTCATTTTACAAAGTCCTATCTGAAAAAAAAAGGATTTTAGATATTTTCTAAAAACAATAAAACCAGAAAAGGTTTGAAATATTATGTATAAAGTATTTGGATTCGATTATATTAATCAAATTGTGCAAACAGAGCAATTTTTGGGTGAGTAAAAGCAGAAACTAAGCAACTTTTTTTTTGCCACTCCTGTGCAGCACCGCCTTAAAAACGCAGTGGGGAAAACTGCAAATACAAAATGTGTTCTATGTCCTCAAAGAAAGTATTTATGTTTTTATATGACGTGATAAAATAAAAAAAATTAATTTTAAAAACATGAAGAGCTTTATTAGTAAAAAGCTGCTGAGCGCAACGAAATATAGGCCATATTTTACTTGCTCTTATGTGCTGAAACACTTAACACTTTCCTTTACTTAGGATTACAGAATAATGTGTGACATATAGCCTATAGGGAAAGAATAATATGTTTCAGGTCTATCCGGAGCATGAAAATGTAATAAAATACATGTGTGTACCGCAAACTTTGTTGTGACATTTGTGTATTCTGACTCATCTTGAATAAACTCTACACAGTCAAATAGCCATTGGGAAACTTTCTGGTTCAGTCTTCAGAGCACAGAATTTTACAAACACATCCTGGAGACACCAAGTAATAAAATACATTATTTTTCAACTCTGATAAAAGCTGGTGTATTATGAGGGTTATGGCCCAGAAGAGCAAGTTAGGTCCCATCTTGGGAAATCTTGAACCCCGTCCTCATCTCTGAGTTTCACTATGCCAAAGGAAACTACCAGGGGAATATCAAGAGCTGTTAGTAGAGGAGGCCAATAGGGGCCACTTTCTTCATGCCCTCCATTTATACCTCACCACTTCTCTGGGTCGCACCACTACTCCAACCACACTCTGTATAGGTTTATTTGCCCTTGATTCCCTACACCTGTGTTTGACCCTTTATTTGCCTGTTTGTTCCCTACTAATGTGTTCAATCTTGATCCAGTCCAGTTGCTTGGTCTTGGGCTCAGTCTTTCTTTGTGTTCAACTTTTGTCTCTTGTGTCTTTTGTGTTGTCTGTTTTATATAAGACTCAGCTCTCCCTGTATGTTTTAGGAGTTAGTTCAGTGAGTTAAGACACTCACTTTGGGCATTAGAGGCCTGCTGCACAAAACAAGTTGAACAAACTCTGAGTTGCCTGGTTTAGATCAGGTTAAGTTGTTTCATAACTAAAGGTTTTAACCCAAAGTTTGTGATCAACCCTGGACAGAATGCAGTTGAAAGTTTGGCACATGCTGCAAACAGCCCATCACACAAAACATGAGAGGGTCAGTTTTCAATATTTTTTAGAATAACAATTTCTTGCAAGAGAGTCAGTAGCAAATATTTTTATTACAATGCAAATCAATAGATTATTATAAGAAACAAGCATGACTAAAATAATTTAATGAACTATACAAACATTTAAGGAAAAATGTAAAAAGAAAATCCTATTAAGCACATAAGTTTATGACATGTTTCCAATACAGACGGACCATCAAGTGGCAAGCTTTATCCCGGAGATCAGATCCTAGCCATCAACCAGGAACTTGTGAGCGACGTTCCCCGGGAGAAAGTCATAGACCTTGTAAGGTAACACCCTTTACTTTCACCAGAAGGAAGGGCCTCTTCTGGAAGCATGACTGTGCATTATGTTTTCTGTGCTTTGTGTCTCCATCAGATAAGAGAAATAACCCCAGATAAGACTCATTTTATATGCTGCTGCTTGCTTGCTAAACTTTATTTTTCTGCAGGTGTTGCAGGGACTCGATTGTTCTCACTGTGCTGCAACCACAACAGGTAGCTCACAAAATGAGATCTTCTACGGTCTTAATTATATTAAATGAGTATTTCTCAGTGCCATAATCAAACTATTATTCAGTTTTATTTCTGTACATTTTTGCTGGAATTTATGTTGAACATCAGGTGCTGCTTTAAAAACATGATTTGCTTTTTTGCATCTGTTCCAGAATGTATTATTATACAAATAATTTCATAGTTAATATATGGAAACTAAAGCTCAGTTGTAAAATGTCTATTTTAAGCACTGAGCTCAAATGGGACAAAGGACCAAGCTACTGAATAAACCATGTCATCATATGGCATGCACTGTAACAGAACTCTAAACTTTAAGATAACAATTAAAAACCTTTTAAAAGGGCCCAGTCTATTTACAATGCTTATCTGGGTCAAAGCACTGCATGTTTTTGAATAGAATGTTCAAAATGTATTCACCAATTTCAAACATACACTGCTAAATGTCTTTTAATCCCTATTTTGTTATTGTTTTCCAGTAAAAATGTATAACTTTCTAAAAATAAGACACACTTTTTATGAGATTTAAAATTGCTAAACGTGAATATTCAAAGTCTATCTAGAATTAAGTGTCATAACCCCATTTTTAATTAGTTTGTTGTTTTATTAGCATACAAATGGCAAAATAATATAATATTTTATCTTACAAAATTATGTTTGTTATTATTTGTATAAATTCTACATCATTATATTTTTCAAAATGTTATTCTAAAATGAACTATTCTTAACCTGTGTTTTCATGTCTATTCTTTTTTCCTTCCCACTCTCCCTTTGTCTTTTCTTAGTCACCTAAGTCTGCCTTCATAAGTGCAGCCAAGAAAGCTCGTCTGCGAACCAATCCCCCCAAAGTGCGCTTTTCTGAGCAAGTGTCCATCAGCGACCCAGACTCAGTATGTGCTGCTGCCTCTTGCTCACATCACACCCCAGTCATATCTGTGCTAACATAGCTTTTGTGCCGAACGAGACCAGCACCACACCGACTGACACCCTTTGCGAAAAAGTGCACTTTAGCACACTTTTATAAGGGTCACTTATTGTGCAATTGATATATTATAAACTAATTCACATAATTGTAAGCTAAGTGCAATATTTTGCCACTTAAGTGCAACTGATTTGTAATTATTTTTAAAAAATTATCAGATTGCAAAATTATATTGAAACCGATTAGTTCAACTTTTCATTGTTTTTAAAACCACTTAAGTGGAACTTAAATCTATTTTTATATGTACTTTCACAATCTTATCTTGTGTTTTTTAAGGGTCCCATAATGCTTTTTCTCTTTTAGAACGTTTTAGTGTGGAGTGTAGTGTATGTATGTTTGGACATAAAAAAGATCTAAAACAAATCTCAAAATCCCCTCCAAAGGGAGATACTTAGTTTTGAGGGGAAGGGGGTGGTATTTTAGAACCAAAATGAATGGCTCAATGGACTGCATGCATTGTCGTCCGGCCCAAATCCTGGTTATAGAAATTCAAATAACAATAACATCACCATTGTAATATGCCTTGCAATGTATGTGCATGTAAAGGTGAGAATGCTCTTGACCAATATTCTCAGCTCAAATTAATGATATTGTGAGATGTTTGATATTCTGATTGTTAAATATGGGTAAGATTTTAATAATGATCATATTAGTTGATATTTGATGACTGATGGGCTGCACTGCAGTGGAGATTAGAGCTGCTGGATTTAAAGCACACAGACACACACACACTTATCAACTACTCACAAAACACATGAAAGTACATGTGTCTGTTTAACTGGGAGAGGAATAAAGTAAACTGTCTAGCTCCCTAAACAATGTGTCATCAGATTATGTCTAAAATGATTATCATTGCCATGGTTATATGCACCAGCGACTATTTGACAAACCATACATGTTTTGTTATGCTTGAACATGTGTAGTCGAATGACTGCTAAAATACAAAGATCCTTGAATACATTGATAAAAGACACCTCCCAGAAGCTCCTGTAAAATAGGTCCACTGGAGTTTATAGACAGAGTGTATGGAAAGTATAACCTAAGTCCCTATTCTATAGTCTTTGGTATGATGTAACTTTTGCAATAGAGCATGGATACCAGCAGAGCAGAGTGTTTCACAGGGGATTCTGGGACGATAAATGCAGTTCTTTTTCTCTCTCTTATATTCAGCTGGCAGTCTATCTGCAACTTACTGTTGCTTGGTGATGAAGCACAGCTGTACTAAAACGCCATCTGAGCAATTTACCAATCACAACACATATAGTTTTTTTTTGGAATACGGGCCTTCATCTAAACCAGAACAAGCCAAAGTATATGTGCTGGGGATCTAGAGAGAAAGGTATTGTAATGATATTACAGTATTGCAATTTTCAAATGAGTGAGAGATGTGAAAAAAGTGATTAGATCCAAATGCAGTATTTATTAAGAACAGTCAGATCAGGGGCCAAAAGCCAGCAATCACAACAACAGAAATAATCTATGTAATGTAATGTAATGTGTATTTGTGTATCAAAATTATTGTGTATGTCCATACACCCAAAGCGCTTCACAATCATGAGGGGGGTCTCTCCACACCACCACCAGTGTGTGGAATCCACTTGGATGATGCGACGGCAGCCAAAGGACAATGGCACCAGTGCACTTACCACACACCAGCTATAAGTGTAGTGGAGAGACAATGATAAAGCCAGTTCGGTGGATGGGGATGATTGGGAGGCCATGATGGTTAAGGGCAGAGAGGTAATTTGGCCATGGCACCGGGGTTAAACCCCTACTCTTTATGAGAATTGCCACAGAGAATCAGGACCTCGGTTTAACATCTCATCCGAAAGACAGCTAAGAGCGTAAATCCTTGTAAAAGGTAAATGGTCAAGACAGGTGGCAAATGATAAAAAAATAATAAACAATTCAAAGGTCAAAACAAGGAAATACTTTGTGATGAATGCAACCACTAGACAATACTCAACAAATGTTGAGAGTGAGAGTGGTCTGTTTATAGTCCAGGTAATCAGAGGGTGAACTGAAATTGCTCTTTGGATGCAAGGCATGATAGGATTTGTAATCCAGGTGTATGAAGGAGGGAAGGAGGGCCAGGCCCATGCAGCAGAAGTGGACCTGGAGCATGGAGCAGAAGAGGCCATGAAGTGTGGCACTGAGGCAAATCTTGGGGTTCTGGGTCAAGAGGCTTTGGATCCGGAGACACGGGCAGGTCAGACTACTTCGGTGGGTGAGGAGATTCTGGCTTAAGAAGCTTTGGATCAGGAGACACCATCAAATCAGACAACCCTGGTGGGTCTGGAAGCTCTGGGTCAGGAAACACCAGCAGGTCAGGGGACCCAGGATCAGGAGATATTGGTGGATCAGGAAGCTCTGGCAAGTCTAATGGCACTGTTAGCTGCATTGACGGCTTTTGTAGCTGTAGCTTGGCAGGCAGCGGTGACCATTCAGAAGGTAATGTCCAAACATATCCTGATATAAGTTCAAATTGTTGTTGCAGATAAAATATAACATGGAAAGTGCAGTTTAAATATGTTCCAGTTGGCTAAATATTGATTAACAATCATTCAAACAACCAAAAACTTTTTACCCAAGTTTGGAGGTCTAATCAAATTCATGTCCAACGTGCAAACGTATTGTGGGCAACATTAGTTGTTAGAGTATGGACACTTTTACACTTCCAGTTTTCACCAAAAATAGTGGTAAACCATCCGGGAACCTTTGGCATACACTTTTCAGCATACTATGGCTTAGGACAAACTATTTCTATTTTAAAATACAATTAAGGATGGATAGTACATGAATTGGGATGCAGCAATGGCCATGTTGTGTGCTGGAAGACACAACATCCATCTTGTGAGCTGGTAGACTGGCGCTGAATGTCTTGGGGACTAGAGTGAGTGTAGTGTATATAAAATCCATGTAATCAGTGATAATGTCCTAAAGTTTTGTTGAATTCATATTCATTTGTTAAATTCATAAATTATATTAAGTCCAGCTCATACTGTGCAATTTCAAAAAAATAATTATATTATTATATTATTGTGGCGTGTCAGACTGCAAAAACATGATTCCCATGTCAGACTGTAAGATCTCAGATGTCAGACAGATGCCAGACAGAATGACAATCAAGACGTGCCAAATATAGACATGAAAAAAACTCATTCAAAGTTTGATTTCATCCAGGGGCAATTTTAGGAATTTAACTTTCGGGTTGTTTGGCTCTTTATGGGGTAGAACAATTATATATATGATAATTGTGTCTTAACTTTAAGATTCAGAAAGCTTCAAAACTGAAATTTATTTTAATGAAAGTGTGCCCACTGTGCCCATCCATAACAGCAGCAGACAACAATTGTTTTGTGTGTGTAGAGAAGGCACTCACAGACACAGACTGACTTATCAGCTCACAAGATGAGACAATATCTTGAATTTCCAAACCATGAGCTTTGTTCCGTGAGGGACTGGGATGAACACATGTAAGATTACATCCCTAATATATATTTCACTCTTTGTTATATTGCAGCCATTTGCTAAAATCATTTATTTACGTTCATTTTTTTTCCTCATTTATGTGCACACAGCACCTCATATTGACAGAAAAACACAGAATTGTTGGCATTGTTGCTCCTTCAAGTCCGAGGTCCTGAGCACTTCGTAGAAGGTTTTCATCCAGAGTATCCCTGTACTTGGCCGCATTCATCTTTCCTTTGATTACAACCAGTCGTCCTGTCCCTGCAGCTTAAAAACATCTCCACAGCATGATGCTGCAACAACCATGCTTCACTGTTGGGACTGTATTGGACAAGTGATGAGCAGTGCCTGGTTTTGTCCAAACATGTGGCTTTGCAGTAAGCCCAAAAAGTACTATCTTAGTCTCATCAGATCAGAGAATCTGATTTCTCTCCATCTTCAAGTCCTTCAGGTGTTTTAGCAAACGCCATGCAGGCATTCATGTGTCAAGCCACTCTGCCATACAGTCCCAACTGGTGGAGGGATGCAGTGATGGTTAACTTTCTACAACTTTTGTGATTTTTGGGTTCTTCTTTACTTCCCTCATCAAGGCTCTTCTCGCCCAATAGCTCAGTTTGGCCAGAACGCCAGCTCTAGAAAGTGTTCTGGTCATCCCAAACATCTTCCATTGAGGCAACTGTTGTCTTAGGAAACTTAAGTGCTGCAGAATTGTTTTGTAACCTTGGCCAGATCTGTACATTGCCACAATTCTGTCTATAAGCTCTTAAAACAGTTCCTTTGATATTAGGATTCTCATTTGGTCTGCCATGCATTGTGAGTTGTAAGCTCATATTAAGACTGGTGTGTGGCTTTCCTAATCAAGTCAAATCAGTATAATCAAGGCTGTACTCAAATGAAGATGTAGAACCATCTCAAGGATGATCGGAAGAAATGTACAGCACCTGAGTTCAATATATGTGTCACAGCAAAGGTTCTGAATAGTTAGAACCATTTAATATTTAGATTATATTTTTTTGAAATCTGCAAAAATGTCAACATTTCTGTGTCTTTTCTATCAATATGAGATGCTATGTGTACATTACTGAGGGAACATTTTACTTAAATGATTTTAGCAAATGGCAGCATATAAACAGTCTATATAACAAAGACTGAACATTTTTAGTGGGTCTGAAAACTATTAAATTATGGCTGGATATGCACAGTGTGAGCATTATTTCAAATAAACTAATTGAGGTGGTGCTACTTACAGTGCAAGGTCTCTGTCACTATGCTGGGACATTAGAACCCACACACACCATAGGTAAAATACCCAAGTTGGTCTCACACCACTTCCAACAACTATCTAGGTTTCCCAGGTAAATCCAGGTAGGAACTAAGTTAAATCCTTCTCAGCTTCAATGGGCTTCCCCTCTTGGGCTATAGGGTGAAATGACTGTG